TCACACATGTGGGCCTGTGTAGAGAAATTAATTACACATCCAAGTTGCACCGTTAGGATAGCCACCTTAGAAAAATAAACTATTATAATAGGTCCCATGCAAGTAACTATGTTTCTTTGTATTTTAACCTCAATAGGGGATCGCTTACTGAGTATTTCTTAAAATACTAAAGTCATGTGCTACTCTATTTTTCAGGTAAAGGCAAGGCGCTTCTGTATGATCGCAATCATGAGACTGTGACAGATGCTTGGATAGTTTCGTATTTAATTTTTAGTAGACCATAGGTTAGTATAGGTTAATTGCATTTCCATTTAGTAACATATAAATTAGTTTAGAACATTTCACTTGGATTGTTTTTCATTTTATTTCTATTTGTATTAGTTTATTCAATAGTATTTTCCAATCCGAAACTAAATCTTTTGAGCTAGATTTAAGAATTATAATGAAACTTTACCAAATTAACGTAAGTAGAGATTTGAAAACAAGACTTACTAGTTCAAATTTTTCTAATGGCGAACTTTTCTTCATGTGCCTGAAAGGTTGATGGATGTTGTCGTTGGCCTCCGGGTGCTTGATGGATGTTATCGCCCCATTAAGCATACGTGTGACTGTACGCATGAATATTTATATATTAACTTCAAGTGATTAAATGTGTAATTCTCCCGGTAGAGAGTAGGTAAATAAAACAAATTAAGACTAGGGTTAGGGTATTAGTTTGGCTAGACGGTAGCCTAAGATGGAATGTCTCTAGTAGTCCGAGCGAGTAGAAATTTACAAGACAACCAGAGTTGTGGCCCTAGTTCTCTTAATGATTCAAACTCAGGTAGTCAAATTTGAGAAACTTGAAGACCTGAATCCATGTCTAACATGGTTTTGTTTTAAATGTTTTGTTATGAACTCTATTTTGATATAATGTAAAGATATTGTATATTATGTTTAAAATTGTTTATTTATTATTATTATTATTATTTTTTTTTTGTAAAAACTCTGTCGTCTTTTTATACTATGGAGTCAACTCTAGTTGCAATCTATGCGTCGTTCTAGCTCAAAAATGAAGTCATGAAAATAATGGTATTAGAGCCAAAGGTTTCTCTATGATCCAGCTCAAGGGACACCTTACCGAGACCAAGCAAGTACACCTCTAAGACTTAGGTCAAGTATTCCCAAGGTTATAAGTTATTGGGTGCATGATTGTAGGGTTATTATTTATGATCAGATTTGAGATAACCTTAAGACCCTGACCATAAGTATCCCCTTGTTCTTGCTTAATCCTTTAATTTCTTTCCTTTTAATCGTTTGGATCTTTCCTGGGCAGCTTATTCTTGTTAGAGCTAGTTCCCTTCATTTTTTGGGTGTTACGCCTGCAATCGTCAGTGTGCTTTAGAAATCTGAAACGAAACATGGGTCTGGAACGGTAGTCCCATCCATGACTTTGTGAATTGATGGGAGAGCGAGGAAAGACAGGAAGAATGAAAAAGGGATCAAAATTCAACGGTGAGGAGCTCTTGAGAAGACAAATAAAAGTTTCGGTAAATTCACATATAGCCATGTGTTGAAGAAAATATCCATCGGGTCGGGTCAGATTCTTGTAAACCATGATTACAACCTCTGACTCAAATTAAGACAAACCGAAGCCTCGACCCATGACTAGTGCGAAGCCCAGCATCCAGAACAAATCCCTGAAGCCCACCTGTAATGCTCGGCCCACCTGTACCATTGATTGCATGACCCACTACCACTAGAATTTTTTCACAAAATGATTAAGTTATGATAGACGGTAGTGACTCTAGATAAGTAGAAATCTAGGGTTGTTATAGTATTCTTGTTTGAACCGAAGGACATGCTCCTTATATTAGAAATTTAGGTTAGATGGGCACAAATTAAGTTAAAAAAGACATAGATTAAGAGATAAAAAAATTGATCTTGCCACTTTTTTTTTTTAACAAAAAAAATAATAATAATAACCCGGAGTTGTAATAAACCATAAAGCATTAAAGAATTCTTCACTTTTGAACTTAAAGTATTAAACTTCTATTTAAACATTCAAACTGTAATTATTTTTTTATAAATCGCAATAGAAGTTGAATATCAATGATTGACTTTTTTTTTCCATTGTATATTATACTTCCCGTGGTTGAACTGTTTTTTAAAAAAAAACCATCAATTATATAAATTTAGAGATATATATAAACGTACATATATATATAAAGACGGTGTCGTTGAAAATTTGAAATCATACATCACCCTTATTTACCTAAATCATTGACCTTCAACTTGCAATAGACCGTTAGAGGTTCTCCTTCCTTATAATTGAGAATTGTCACTTTCCATGGTGACCCCCGAGATTGGAGAGATAAACAAGTGAAGGCATTAAAAGTAGATGCAAAAGTAAACAACAAAATCACATAGAGACAATTCATAGCATTCATTTTTTGATGTTTTAGAATCTATAATGGCCCTAGATTCCTATTTAACCTAAAGCCGCTACTATATACATATCATAAAATATTTTATGGGAAAATACTTCATTCAAANCTTTAAAATAAAATACCAAAAATTAAAATGACATAAAGTAAAACTGCCCTATACTAACCTATATGCAACAAAATTAAATGCATACTAACCTACATTGTAGAGTCTACGAAATTAAAATTTTGAAAACTCTCCAATCGTCAGCCGTGCAGGGGAGCCTTGCCTCTACCTGAAAAATAAGAGTAGCACATGACTTGAGTATTTTGATAAATACTCAGTAAATCACCCTACTATTGGGATTAAATGCAAGCACATGCAATCATGAGTGGGACCTATCATATCAATCTATATTTCTTAGGCAGCTAAACTAAGCGGGGTCAATTTGATGTGTATTTACTGCTCTACACACAGTCTACACGTACGAGTATGGACCCACAAGTCGGCTCGTACACCTCTTGGGCCCCTTTCTTGTTAGGCGAGCATTATCTGGGAGCTGTTGATGTCGGACACCCATTAGAAATAGCAACCTTCGTAGCATTATAACAAATATAATGGTCGTTTCCTTGTCCTGTAGTGTACGCGTTCGTACCATCGCTAAAGATGAAGGGGTATCCCCCGATGCATGAACACACAATGATACATGAGGTCCCAACATTTTTCTTTGATGGAGTTAATATAACTAGCTTGTTCATAATTATTAAAACTCAAGGTCTTTGAGTACTAACATTTTGTAGTTCAAATTCCTTTTTACTCACGAACTAGTTTCGAACAACCACTAGTGTCTTCTTCGCTATTCTCCGGTCTTAGAACGGGATTGAGGAATCCGGTGAGTGACTAAACTTGGAAGGGATTTAGTATATATGAAGAGAGAGTTTGTGGGAGTTTTTCCGAGATTTTTTAAAGGGAGAAGTTCCATGTACCTTAATCACTAAAACATTAATTTTTCTATTTAATTAATATTTAATATTAATTCAAATGCCAATCTCAATCAATTCTGACATATATTTGATTAAAATATTTAAATATTGTTTAAATATCTCATATTCTCTCTTTTTGTTTAATTCGTAAATAAAAAAAATGCAATTAAATATATCGTATATATGTAACGCATATTTTCTAATTTGAATTCGAACTCACTCATCACACTATTCTATGGTTTTGTCAGATATGAGCTAGCAGATGGATCTAATGGACCTATATTTCATGCTCTCCAACTATTCAAGATTAACTGGTTAAACTCATTAACCTTGTTAACCAACATTTGTTAACTACTAGGACACTCCACTATAGCCTAGTAGTTGCACTCCCCTCACTATAGATATATTTTTGTCCATTTGATATAATCATGATTAGTAGGTCGATCCTTCACAGGTTGTGCATAACTAGAGCTGGGTCAATTTATCGTTTTACCCTTCAAGTTACTTCATGTTTCTTATGTCCCACTAATCCTCTAATGAACAATTGGTTTTTGGTCCAACCAAAAACCAAATTCCTCTCAGGCCAATGAGAGGGTAGGGCCCCTTGTTCACGACCTGGAGTCAGTACTAAGGGAGCTACCTCTCTTCTATCTTTAAAAGTGGGTAGGAGTGAATTCCATCTTACACCCCACGTCCCCAGCCATTCACCTAGTCTTACCCCTAAAATGGGAGGCCTATTGAGTCGGCGAACTCGAGCCCCTCTCACACATGAAAATCTAAGGATAATTTCGAATAAACCGGAGTTCATTGTTAGCTCAGGATTAAGATCGAGTTACCTGGGTCATTGAATGATAAGAAAATCAGTCTCAACAGTAAACGACATTATAAAGTGAGAGTGATTTTCTTCATGGTTCGATCTTATGCAATAGTCATTGCATAGGACACCCCCACTCACATGTCTCCACATGTACAATTTAGTGATCACATTGTTTATGTCATATAGAAAAGTGGGCCACATCCATAGTGTCCCAGGATAAGGTACTCAACTATATCCTTGTACTATAGATCATTTTGACTATATACTTGAACTTGATCCACTCGTATGTCTCTACATATAGTTCAAGTAATCATCCTATAGTCAAAGTGTTCTTAGTTTATTGTATTTAGATTAATAATCGTAAAATTCACTTTATTCAATAGCAATCTTTACTGAATAAACATCAATAATAATTTTATTGAAAATAGAATATGTTTTTGTTTACCAACTATGAGGTTTATTTCATAAAACCCAACAAACTCCCACTTGGATTAAAACTCTAGTGGGGTTTTATAAAGTTGAGTAGAGAGAAATACATAAATACAATAAAGTAGGGCATCACATACTCATGTCTTTTCTCCCACTTACCCTAGATTACATAACTCGTAGTTCTATACTCACTAGGTGCCCTTCAAACACTTTAGCCGTGAGGGGCTTTGTAAATGGATCAACAATGTTGTGCTCTGAATCTATTTGTGTGATGATCACATCTCCTCGTTGCACAATCTCCCTTATGAGATGATATTTGCGCTCAATATGTTTTCCTTGCTTATGATTTCTTGGTTCTTTTGAATTTGCAACTACTCTACGGTTGTTACAATAAAGAGTGACGGGAAGATGCTTATTTGGAACGACTTCCCAATCAGTTAAGAACTTTCTAAGCCATACAGATTCTTTCGCTGCTTCACAAGCAGCAAAATACTCAGCCTCCATGGGGCAATCAACAATGCAACCTTGCTTTATGCTTCTCCATATTATTGTTCCTCCGTTCAGAGTGAAGACAAATCCTAGTGTCGATTTCCTCGAATCTACATCGGTGTGAAAATTTGAGTCAGTGTACCCTATAAGGTTCAAATCTTTAGCACTGTATATTAGCATATAGTCCCTTGTTCTCCTTAGATACTTAAGGATATTCTTAACGGAAGTCAAATGAGCACGTCCCGGATTGGACTAATATCTGCCGACAATTCCCACAGTATATTTTAGGAAATCACAACCAATTATATTTTAGATCTCCTAATTCTGAATGATTTAGATTGTCAATAATTTTATATGAATTATAGAAAAAGAATACAACAAAATGAATTGATTAAATTAAAAGCTAAGAATATAATGGTTAACTAAAGGAAGACAAAGTAAATAAGAAAAAATGAAATAGATATGGAAATTAAAAATACTGTTACCGGAAAAAGAAAAGAAAAAAGAAAAAAAAAATAAAAATAGAATGGGAAGATTTGGAGTAGGAATATATTAACAAAATTTGCCAAAATATCATAATTTAACCATGGGCAATGTAAATTAGCGAAATAATTTTATGGAGTTCAAACTTGAAACTGATGTCATGGGCTCACATAGGTTGACTTGAATTTCATTGGACTTTCATTAAGGATAACGACAGAATATTGGCCTAAGCTAACCAGGTAATGATTTTACTATCGGCATGGTTATATTTGATGTTGACACGTGCCCTATGGTTCGTCATCTTCATAGTCCAACCCCTCTCTTTGGGTATAATCCTTTACTACAAGTCGAGCTTTAAAGGTCTATACCTTACCGGTTAGGTCTTGTTTCCTCTTATAGATCCATTTACAACCAATAGGTTTTACCCCATCTGGTTGATCTACAAGTTCCTAGACTAAATTGAAGTACATTGACTCCATTTCAAGATTCATGGTTTTAATCTACGGATCTCTATCTTCATCATTCATTGCTTGTTTATAGGTCAATGGATCCTCAACGCCATCATCATGTATGATGACTTGAGTTTCTGCCAAACCCAAGTAACGATCCGGTTGAGTTATAACCCTCCCACTACGTCGAGGCATTCTCAACTCTTGAGAATGATGTGATTGACCAGAAGTGCCATCTCCATCAACAACTCTTGTTGTTTTACCAGTAGCTTCTTTCTAAATATCACTTAATACTAGTTTGCTACGAGGTTGGTGGTTTCTTACGTGGTCTTCCTCTAAGAATGTAGCGTTTGTTGATACAAACACTCTATTTTCTTGATCGTCATAAAACAACCACCTTTCGTCTCTTTGGGGTATCCTACGATAAACATAATTTTGAACGACGTTCTAATTTCTTGGGGTTTTGCAACAACACATGTGTTGGGCATCTCAAAATCCTGAAGTGACGTAAACTACCTTTATGCCCTTTCCATAAATCACAAGGTATTTCTGAAACACTCTTAGAAGAAACCATGTTCAAAATGTATGTAGCAGTCTCCACTACATATCCTCAAAACATATCAGGTAATTGAGCAAAACTCATCATAGATTGAACCATGTCTAATAGAGTTCTATTTCTCCTTTCAGATACACCATTTTGCTGAGGCATACTAGGGGCTAAGAGTTAAGACGTTATTCCATGTTCTATCATATAGTCCTGAAATCTTAAGTCCATATACTCTCCAACTCGATCTGATCGAAGTGTTTTAATAGTTTTACCTAATAGATTCTCAACCTCAGTCTTATACTCTTTGAATTTTTCAAGAGCTTCAGACTTGTGATGCATTAGGTAAAGATAGCCATACCATGAATAATCATCAATAAAACTGATGAAATATTCATACCTTCCTCATACTTTGACATTCATTGGACCACAGAGATCTGTATGCACAAGTTCTAAGGTTTCTTTAGCTCAATAACCTTTTTCGAAAAACGGTCGTTTATTCATTTTACCCTCAAGACAAGACTCACATGGAGGTAAAGAGTTGTCTTCTAACTCATTTAGAAGTCCTCTTTTAACCAATCTCTCAATCGTATTGAAATTAATGTGGTCTAGTCTTAAGTGCCAAAGATAGGTATTGGGAGAAAGCTTTTGTCGTTTATTTTGAGTTTCAGCTGTTTTAAACATCTCGGTTTTTAAAATAGCCTTTTTTTCGCTCCATTTTAACATATATAAGTTGTTTTCTAGTTTTGTGGAACAAATATGAATACCTCTTTTGCAAATGAACACTTCGTTGATTTCAAAAGATAGTTTATACAATTGTTCTAATAAACAAGAGATAGATATTAAATTTCTTTTCATTTTAGGAACAAAAAGTACAATATCTAATATAATGAATATATCTCCAAAAAATAATTTTAAATTTCCTAATGATCTTGTTGAGACAACCTCTCCTATTCCAACCCAAAGTGTTATCTCGCCGTCCGCAAGCATTCTTCAGGAGCTAGTTTTCTGGAAAAAAGAACAAATATGATTAATGACCCTTGAATCTAGTATCCAAGTTGAGTTATAATACTTTACTAAACATATTTTTACAACGAGTAAATCATATTTATCTTGTTGTGTCTTTTTGACTTTCTTCTCTGCAAGGTATTTTGGGCAATTTCTCTCAGTGCCCGTTTTCATTGCAATGGAAACATTTCCCTTTATCTGCTTTTTGAACCTTGTGTTTGTGGTCAATAGGAATCTTATTTTCCCCGTTACCCTTATTCTTTATCAAAAAACTTTTAGAAGTTGAACGTCCAGACTTATTTTTTAGGACGATCCTCGTAGTAATTTCTTAGAGATAACAACATTTGCTTCTCCTGTTTGTCTCTTGTTCGTTAAGAGAGATTGATAAGTCTTTAGCTCATTAAGAAGAGCAGTCAAGTTATTTTCTATCTTGTTCATCATCACATTTGTGCGGAACTGAAAGAAGTTCTTTGGAAGAGACTCCATGATAAAACTGACTTGACTCTTCTCATCAATGACAATGCCATTTTCTTCTGCCACATTGAAATGGACCATGATGTCCAGGACATGTTCTCTAACTGAGGTCCCTTCTTTCATACAGTAGTTGTAAATGTATTTTATGGCGTTATGTCTAAGGGAGAAGAACGGTTGTCCAAACATCCCTTTCAGAGATTCCATAATCTCTTTAGCAGTACCCATGACATCTTGTTTCTTAGCCAAAACATCAGATATGCTGTCTAAAATGTACAGTCGGGCTTTGTCATATGCCTTTGTCCATCTGTCATATGCATCCCAAACTGTTCGGTTTGCATTTGAGCTGGGGTTTGGAGGACATTCCTCAGTTAAAACAAACCTTAAATTATCAATTACAAGTATTGTGTTTAGGTTTGATTTCCAAGTTGCGTAATTGTTGTCGTTTAATTTCTCAGAAGCGAGTAATTGTACTATTGAGTTTGTCATGCTGTGATATAAAAAAAATTATATTACTTATTTGATTTAATCCTGTTTAATCCAATCAGGTTTAGCAAATGTAATAATGTACCCAAAAATTATTAATTTGCAATGATACTTTAGTGAGTTAGAGCAACTGCTACCGAGGGGCAGTTAATCACTTCTTCATTCAACCAAGACATTCTTGACTTAAACACTAATCCTAGAATAACTCTTGTTCCTAGTAATCGCTATTTTGGTCAAGAATATACTAACTCTTAGTAATTCTTCGTAAGTGTGACCCACCAATTTCAGACCTCAGAGATTGGTCCCAACAACGCTATCGAATATAAAAAAACCAAAGTTGGGAATAGACCTAAGAAATCCTATCCATTTCTAGAGTTTGCGTTGTTTCGACTCCCATGTTACGACCCTCCGAATGGGTAGTTGCTCTAGGGCAACATGCAGGTGGAACATGGGAATCTCATAGTGCAACCTAGTGGTGGAGACCATAGGACGTGTTGATATACTTCCTTCTCCCACTTATTATAAATACTTTCTCTATTCACCTTGTTATTGACTTATGCAAATACTTTCTAAATGGAAGACGCTCCTAAGGCGACACGAGGTCGAGCATGAATCTCACGGTGTGAATTTTTCAGAGAGCGTAAAAGGAAAATGATGTATCTCATATACCTTTTTCCTCCCACTAAGTATTTTAGATGGTTGGGTATACTCATTACTTAGATATATTCCAGCTAATTAAATATAACTTAAGTCTAGGTTTTTTTCTAAAACTTATATCACTGAAGCATGCTCATAAAACATGGCTAACTAAGCTCAAGTACTAGTCTGATTTCCAGGTAGTAGGTGTTTCGTAAACCATCAACTTAAGTACCTCGAGTCTTAGACAAGATTGTGCTAGGTGAGCTTTCTTGTAATAGCAATTTTATAAGACATCGACCTATTTTAACTATTAAAATTGATTGTGCTTGGTTCTTAACCTAAGTGAGCATGCACTTATCTTTATTATAGACTTTAACGTCTATCTCATGTTATGACGTTGAAAATAACCTATAACATGCATCTAACATGCTTTTTATAACAATTATATAATCATTCATTCCATGCAATAATATAACAATTTATATCTATCACTCATGGAACCCTCAACATGCATACTATACATTATAACACTTATAACATACTTGGAATGCATGATGCTTAGCATATGGTGGGATTTTAAATCTATATGACATACTTTATGCATATACATTTTCTATTTCATTAAAACATACATTCATAATGCATAAATAATTAAACACGCTAAAGTGGATTGGTTTTGGCATTTTAAAGCAATTAACTAAATTATTACATTGAACTGGTCCCGAGGATCATGAACCGAGTGAACTAACCCTTAAAAGCGCTGAACAGTACCCGAACGATAGAAAAAACACCCGAACCGCCTCTTCCATCGTCTTCTTCGGTTCAGCTTGCTTTCTCTTCCATTTTCGATCAATTACAACCTAAACTGGACTCTAATGACTCCATAAAAATTACATACCTTTCTTCACTCATTAAAGCCCATAAACATTAGGCTTGTTAAATAATTGTATCAAATGGAAGAATAAAAAAAATGCTAAAACCAAAAACATCCACTTTAGAAACCACAAAATTTCATTCATGAAATGGTACCCACCATGTTGAAATTAATGTAAATAAAATGCCTAAAACTTGCTCTGATATCAATTGATGGAGTTAATATGACACATGCGGAAGCAATTTGGATCTTAGGCACTCTTAGAACATCAATTATAGTAAATAACTAGCATGTTCATAAGTATTAAAACTCAAGATGTTTGAGTAGTAACCTTTTGTAATTCAAATTCTTTTTTACTCATGAACCAGTTTCGAACCACCACTAGTGTCTTTTCCACTATTCTCCGGCCTTAGAATGGGATTGAGAAATACGGTGAGTGACTAAAATTCAGAGGGATTTAATATATAGGAAGAGAGAGTTTGTGAGATTTTTTATCAAGGTTTTTCCAAGGGAGAAGTTCGATTTACCTTGATCACTCTATTTATGTTTGCATGTTCATGCAAATTTGAGATGATGTAGCAAGTTTGTGATGATGAACCACCACTAGTTATGTTTGCATGTTCATGCAAATTTGAGATCACCAAATTTTGACACTCAAAATTCTACTTAAATGTTTAGGATGATGTAGCAAGCATACAAGTTTGAGTTAACCAAATTTTGACCCTCAAAATTCTTCTCAAATTTGTGGGGTTTATTTGGCAAGCATGCAAGTTTGGTTAAACCAAATTTTGACACCTCAAAATTCCACTAACTCAAATACGGATTTTTCCATGAAATGAAGTCAACATTTTGACTTTCTTTATTTTAATTCAACAATTAATTTCAAATTAAAGTAATATTAAATGATTAATTAAACTATTTAATTAATATTTAATATTAATTCAAATGCATATCCCAATTAATTCCGACATATATTTGATTAAAATATTTAAATATTCAAATGTCAATCCCAATTAATTCTGACATATATTTGATTAAAATATTTAAATCTTATTTAAATATCTCAGATTCTCTTTTTTTTGTTTAATTCGTAAATAAAACAAAAATATGGTTAAATATATCGTATATATGTAGCGCATATTCCCTAATTTGAACTCGAACACTTTGAACTCACTCGTCACACTATTCTATGGTTTAGTCCGATATGAGGTAGTAGAGGGACCTAATGGACCTATATTTCATGGGCTCCAACGATCCAAGATTAACCGGTTAAACTCATTAACCTTGTTAACCAACATTCGTTAACTACTAGGACACTCCACCGTAGCCTAGTAGTTGCACTCCCCTCACTATGGATTATTTCTGTCCATTTGATATAACCATAATTAGTAAGTTGATCCTTCACAGGTTGTTCATAACTAGAGATGGGTCAATTTATCGTTTTACCCCTGAAGTTACTTCTTGTTCCTTATGTCCCATTGATCCTCTAATGAACAATTGGTTTGTGGTTCAACTAGTAAACAAAATCCCTCTCAAGCCAATGAGACGGTGGGGCCCCATGTTCAAGACCTAGAGTTAGTACTTAAGGGAACTACCTCTCTTCTATCCCTAAAAGTAGGTAGGAGTGAATTCCATCTTGCACCCCACGTCCCCAGCCATTCACCCAGTCTTACCCCTGAATTGGGAGGCCTATTGAGTCGACGAACTCGAGACACTCTCACCCATGCAAATCTAAGGGTAATTCCGAATAAACAGGAGTTCATGGCTAGCTCAGGATTACGATCAAGTTACCTAAGTCGTTGAATGAAAAGAAAATCAATCTCAACAGTAAACGACATTATAAAGTGAGTAATTTTCTTCATGGTTCGATCTTATGCAATACTCATTGCATAGGACACCCCCACACACATGTCTCCACATGTACAATTTAGTGATCACATTGTTTATGCCATATAGAAAAGTGGGCCGCATCCATAATTGTTTATGTCATATAGAAAAGCGGGCCACATCCATAGTGTCCCTAGGATAAGGTACTCAACCTTATCCCTGTACTAAATTTTGTCATATAGAAAAGTGGGCCTCATCCATAGTGTCCCCAGGATAAGGTACTTAGCCTTATCACTGTACTATAGATCATTTTGACTATATACTTGAACTTGATCCAAGTACTCAGCCTTATCCCTGTACTATAGATCATTTTGACTATATACTTGAACTTGATCCACTCTTCTATCTCAACATATAATTCAAGTAATCATACTATAGTCAGAGTGTTCTTAGATTATTGAATTTAGATTAATAATCATATAATTCACTTTATTCAATAAAAATCTTTAGTGAATAAACATCAATAATAATTTTATTGAAAATAGAATATGTTTTTATTTAGAAACTATGAGTTTTAGGACATAAAACCCAACAAACCTCTCTAGAGTTTTCTTGTATATCATATCATTCTACCATAACTTTTCATGTGAATATCGGGTTTGTTCATTATTTCAATTCATCATGTTGCTTGTCAATCCTATCATATCATATATCTCATAATGTCAAACATATGTCCTATCATAAATATCATACAACATTGTATAGACATCCAATCACAGAATAACATCATCATACATCGTTCATCATCATCATACAATATAGTCACACATCATAAATATAAAGAATAAATGACACATGCAGGGGCTACTAGGCACGTGTCGTCGTCATACATTAAACAAGTCATTCAACCTATCCGACAGTAAGACCACTTACTTGGTTGGCCTTAGCGCCGACTTTCTCCATAAATTCAAGTACGTTTGCTTTTCATCCCTCGAAATTTCTTTTGGCATTATTTGTTGTTATTTCCTATTAGAATGTCCATCTTGTTTTGTTAGAAACTACAATTTCTTAACTCTGTTTAACATAAATCGAGAAAGTGAACCTTATACTGAATTTAATTTCCATAAACAAGTTCAATTTCAGCTTTAGGATAGTTGGAACGGTAAAAATTGGGCAAAATATCCTCTAGCGAGCCAAAGAGATGGATTTTCTGGCTGCAGGTGCGACATGTGGCGCCATGAGGTGTGAACCTGTGTTTTCCAGCGACCATGTTGTTTTTTTTTTTGGTCTTTACAGAATCTAATATTGTTTAATTCTCGAGAATGGTGTATAACTTTCAAATTTATTTCATTTTTGTGCTTGAAAATTTTCTATAAAATCTAGGCTTTGATATTAAGGCTGTAGTCAATATTTTATTATTCAATAACAACTTTATATTTTATTGAGATGTACTCATTTATATATTAAATGTTTCCATATATTTTAGAACTTAAATGATTAACAGACATTTTGTAACAGTAGTTCTATGCAAGCACACAACTTACGTAGAAAAGAAAAGATTTGATGTGAAGGAAGGCAAAGGTGATGGATTTGTCTAAGGACTCCATGGATGAATGAGTTCGAATACCTTTATTTTGCTATTATATAAAGAAAAACCCTTTTTATCTGCACGCCAAATGCAGTGGGAATAGTTGCATCGTTCTTCAAGCCAAATTCCCTTCTCTGGCCAAAAAACCTCGAACGAAAGCTTCCCATAATTGCTGTTAAAGTTGCACCAAAACAATGTTGTCTGCAAAACATTCTCTTTGAACTCCCAACTGTATTCCTGTTTGAACTGAAGAATATGCTCCCCTATATCAAAAAGTTATGTTAGATGGGCACAAATTCAATTGAAATAATGAAAAAAAATTAGAACTATAACAGCCTATACAATTACACAGTCAAACGTTCAATTAAATAAAAATTCTTAAATACCAATTTGTGCGGAATTCAACTAGTTGAGACACCATATACCCATCCATGAAGAGGTTAAGTATCATTCAACCTCTCCACTCCACATATTTATTAACAAAAAAAGAACTTGTAATTGAATCCTTGAAATTGAGATATACATAAAACAATATGGTCTAATTGAATATTTGTCATAGTGCAACACCCTTATTTACCTAAATCGTCGTTTTTCGATTTGCAATGGGCTAGTAAAGGTACGTCTTGATAATTAAGAATCGTCACTTTCCATTGAGAATGTGGATATTGCATTGCAAAAGAAGTGAAAACGTTAGAAGTTGATGCAAAAGTAAACAATAAAATCATATAGAGATTATTCATAGCCTTCCTTTTTTATCAACTTAGAATTTGTGTGTTTCATTTGGATGGTTTTAAACTATATATATATATTTATATTTATGATGATTGCACTAAAACAAAGATATTAAGAGTGTTTGTTTGTTAGGTTAAGCTTTATTTAGCAAGGAATTACACATATCCCCAAACTTAGGTTTCTCTCCCAACTGCCAATCATATACTTTTCCTAACTTGGATGTCTCCTTCTCATGTTTCTTACTAATTTGTGATTATACATACCCATCTTGAAATCTTTTAAAACAATTCAAGTAAAAATAGTTTAGATTTTAAAATCTTTATAAGAAGTCTAAAATTATTGGATTGGTGTAATCTCGAAAAATATTAGAATTAAAAAAAAAAAAGGATAGTCCCACCTTGCTTAATGCTCAGAGGTGGGGGGTCGACCTCCACTACAAAAGGGAGGTCCCTCACTCCATTTTAGCATCCCACTTGCACGATAGAGCTAGTCGGATATTACACTTTCTGACGGCGCAAGGCTAGCATTTAACTTGATTTGGCTTCTGTCTAATACGTTCGAACCCTTTTCTTCTAGTTTCAATTTTTCAGAAGCGTTTAAAGTTAGTGTAACTACGTTTTAGCTAATTTAAATTTTAAGAGTTAAATGTAAAGTATTTATGCATAGTAAGACTTAGTTTAAATTATTAGGAGTAAATTTAAATTACTCTATCCAAAATTAGGCTTAAATAGTTTAAATTAGTAGGAGTAAGATTAAATTATTTTAGGCTTAACTAGTTTAGTCAATTTCCACATAGAATTCTAACTAGTGATTGTTGGACTCCTTGGGCATAATTGAATTTTAGAGAGTAATGCTAAGCTAGCATCAAGGAGTTGTAGTAGCTTCAACCTAAGCAAACCACGTAAGTGACCAATGCACGTGTCACACAATTATGCATGAGATTCACATAGTTTATTATCCTGACATAATGTATGATGCAAGACAAACATCCATTTATGTATGACATAGGTCTGTGAATTATGCTTAATAATTCTCAAACATTTTGTAGTACATAGCATAGCTTTTATGGCATGGTCTAAGAAGGCTTATAAATCATAGATTATCAATTTCATAACTATACAACATGTCATGGTCTTATGATAACATATCATAATATGGCAAGACAAGGCATAACATATTTTAACATGGCATCACATAGCTTAACACGGTATAACATAGTATCACATAGCATCATATATCATTCATATATATGACACGTGTCGGAGCCACAAGACACGCAAAGTCATACATAATAGAATTCATCCAACCAAGTCGATAATACACTTACTTGGTTGGCCTAAACGAGAATCTCATTGCTAAAGCTAGTTCGACTTCGTCCTTCAAAGTTTGTTTCAACCGAGGTGGACTCACCGCATCACATTAAGAAATAATAACGAACTAAACTTGTTAAAGCTAGTTTGATGGATTCGGGTCGCACGTAGGTTCACAGATCTGGTGGCGGGCGCCGCTCTTCAAGAATTACCTGATGCAATATTTTTTGTAATTTTCCTCTGCCATTCCACGCCTGATAAGTGTCCCATTTTTCCAGCAACTAGCGGCCCTCTCCCTTCCTGACATGCGTCCCTCCGCCGTTCATCTTCTTCCTCTCATCTTTGCGATTTTCTAGATTCTGGTCAAATTCTATATCAATCTATTTATTTTGGATTTTTTTATCTTCTAAACTGTAACTTGAATTAAATTGATTCTTTCACAAGAATTCAAGATCACTAGTCCACCTATCCATATATATTTTTATTGTATTTTTTTTATACTCACTGCGCTTAGTGAATGAAGTTAAAAACCAAGAAAAATTTAGTTTCTTACCGAAGTAGGACGATTTCACGATTTTGTTTTCCGACGCGATTTTTGGTCTTGTTTCCTCTAAAAACTTACAAGACTCCTCACCTAAATTGTTGCAACTAGATTATTATGGTTTAAATCAGCTAAAACTTCCATAAATGAGGTTAAAAACGGAGAAAAATTTAGTTTCTTACCGAAGTAGGACGGTTTCATGATTTTGTTTTCCGACGCGATTTTTGGTCGTGTTTCCTCTAAAAACTTACAAGACTCCTCACCTAAAATGTTGCAACTAGATTATTATGGTTTAAATCATCTAAAACTCATGGATCTATGGTAAAATTT